TCAGCACTGCACCATAGACTTAACACTGCACCATAGACTCAGCACTGCACCATAGACTCAACACTGCATCATAGAGTTAACACTGCCCCAAAGACTCAACACTGCACCATAGACTCAACACTGCACCAAAAACTCAACATTGCTACCCATAGACTCAACACTGCAACCTAGACTCAACACTGCACCATAGACTCAACACTGCACCATAGACTCAGCACTGCACCATAGACTCAACACTGCACCATAGACTCAACACTGCTACCCATAGACTCAACACTGCTCCATAGACTCAACACTGCACCATAGACTCAACACTGCTACCCATAGACTCAACACTGCACCATAGACTCAACACTGCACCATAGACTCAACACTGCACGATAAACTCAGCACTGCACCATAGACTCAACACTGCACCACAGACTCAACACTGCACCATAGACTCAACACTGCACCATAGCCTCAACACTGCACCATAGACTCAACAGTGCACCATAGACTCAGCACTGCACCATAGACTCAGCACTGCACCATAGACTCAACACTGCACCATAGACTCAATACTTCACCATAGACTCAACACTGCACCATAGACTCAACACTGCCCATAGACTCAACACTGTACCATAGACTCAACACTGCCCCATAGACTCAACACTGCACCATAGATTCAACACTGCCCCGTAGAGTCAACACTGCACCATAGTCTCAGCACTTTCCATAGAATCAACACTGCACCATAGACTCAGCACTGCACCATAGACTCAACACTGCCCCATAGACTCAACACTGCCCATAGACTTAACACTGCACCATAGACTCAACACTGCATCATAGAGTCAACACTGCACCATAGACTCAACACTGCTCCATAGACTCAACACTGCCCCAAACACCCAACACTGCACCATAGACTCAACACTGCACCATAGACTCAACACTGCCCATAGACTCAACACTGCCCCATAGACTCAGCACTGCACCATAGACTCAACATTGCTACCCATAGACTCAACACTGCACCATAGACTCAACATTGCTACCCATAGACTCAACACTGCACCCTAGACTCAACACTGCACCATAGACTCAACACTGCACCATAGACTCAACACTGCACCATAGCCTCAACACTGCACGATAGACTCAACACTGCACCATAGACTCAGCACTGCACCATAGACTCAACACTGCACCATAGACTCAACACTGCACCATAGACTCAACACTGCTCCATAGACTCAACACTGCCCAAAGACTCAACACTGCACCATAGACTCAACACTGCACCATAGACTCAACACTGCCTATAGACTCAACACTGCCCCATAGACTCAGCACTGCACCATAGACTCAACATTGTTACCCATAGACTCAACACTGCACCATAGACTCAACATTGCTACCCATAGACTCAACACTGCACCCTAGACTCAACACTGCACCATAGACTCAACACTGCACCATAGACTCAGCACTGCACCATAGACTCAACACTGCTACCCATAGACTCAACACTGCCCCATAGACTCAACACTGCACCATAGACTCAACACTGCACCATAGACTCAACACTGCCCCGTAGACTCAGCATTGCACGATAGACTCAGCACTGCACCATAGACTCAACACTGCACCATAGCCTCAACACTGCACCATAGACTGAACACTGCACCATAGACTCAGCACTGCACCATAGACTCAACACTGCACCATAGACTCAACACTGCACCATAGACTCAACACTGCCCCGTAGACTCAGCACTGAACCATAGACTCAACACTGCACCATAGCCTCAACACTGCACCATAGACTCATCACTGCACCATAGACTCAGCACTGCACCTTAGACTCAACACTACACCATAGACTCAACACTGCACCATAGATTCTAGATTTAAAGCTTTTGTGACTGCTAGGATCCATACTCTTTGGTTCCATTGGGTAAAGTCACGTAGGTGAAAATAAAATAACAAAAAATCACGACGTTTCGGCCACAACACAAGCGGCCTTCATCAGGTGAAGGGACGAGACTGTCTGGAGGACAGCGCTGGAGTGGAAGAAGCCACGCTTAGATCACGACCTTTAAGATGTGTCAGAAGAAGAAGACCAAGCGCCTTGACAAAGGAATTAGCATATAATTTAGCATTGAAATGGCTCATTGAAATAGCTAAGTTAAAGTATACACATCCGCAGAGGCACCCCTTGACAAAGGAATTAGCATAGAATTTAGCATTGAAATGGCTCATTGAAATCGCTAAGTTAAAGTATATACATCCGGAGAGGTACCCCTTGACAAAAGAAATTAGCATAGAATTTAGCATTGAAATGACTCATTGAAATAGTTAAGTTAAAGTATACACATCCGCAGAGGTACCCCTTGACAAAGGAAATTAGCATAGAATTTAGCATTGAAATGGCTCATTGAAATAGCTAAGTTAAAGTATACACATCCGCAGAGGTACCCCTTGACAAAGGAATTAGCATAGAATTTAGCATTGAAATGGCTCATTGAAATAGCTAAGTTAAAGTATACACATCCGCAGAGGTACCCCTTGACAAAAGGAATTAGCATAGAATTTAGCATTGAAATAGCTGAGTGATTAGCTTGTAACTGGTCACAGAAATGGCTATGTTAAAGTTAAAGTATACACAATCCGCAGAGGTACCCCTTGACAAAGGGAATTAGCATAGAATTTAGCATTGAAATAGCTGAGTGATTAGCTTGTAACTGGTCACAGAAATAGCTATGTTAAAGTCAAAGTATACACATCCACAGAGGCACCCCTTGACAAAGGAATTAGCATAGAATTTAGCATTGAAATAGCTGAGTGATTAGCTAGTAACTGGTCACAGAAATAGCCATGTTAAAGTTAAAGTATACACAATCCGCAGAGGTACCCCTTGACAAAGGGAATTAGCATAGAATTTAGCATTGAAATAGCTGAGTGATTAGCTTGTAACTGGTCGCAGAAATAGCTATGTTAAAAGTTAAAGTATATACATTCACCGAGGCACCTAGTACTCATCAAACAGGAGAATTTAGCGAAGCACAACCACGCTCAGACATCTAACCTGTGTGCGAGCAAACAAGGTGTTCTGAGAAATAAATTAGCATAAAAAAAATAGCATTTGATTGACCGATTTTAGGAAAGACAGTCTGCCTGGTCACGTGACCCTCGCCACTGATTGATTCAATCAGCCGCGGGCTCTCGAAGGAAGGGGAAAGCTACAGACAAAGCTCCCCCGGGTAGCCTCCGATAGACTTTAGGGGCAAGTGCTGTTACACACAGACACAGATTCAGGCAGAGCTTCCCCAGGTAGCCTCCAGCAGGGGTGTAGGGACAAGTTCTGTGAGTAGCGAGAAGCACCTTGACGCATTCACTCACCCACTCACCACTCAGTCACTCACTCACCACTCAGTCACTCACCCACCCACTCACCCACCCACTCACTCAACCACCCACTCACTCAACCACCCACTCAATCACCCACTCATTCACTCACCTACTCACTCACTCACCCACTCACTCACTCAACCACCCACTCAATCACCCATCCACCCAATCACCCACTCATTCACTCACCTACTCACTCACTCACCCACTCACTCACTCACCCACTCACTCACTCACTCACCCACTCACTCACTCACTCACCCACTCACTCACTCACCCATTCACTCACTCATCCACTCACTCACTCACCCACTCACCCACCCACCCACTCACCCACTCACCCACTCACTCACCCACCCACCCACTCACCCACTCACCACTCACTCACTCACCCACTCACTCACTCACTCACCCACTCACTCACTCACCCACTCACCCACCCACCCACTCACCCACTCACCCACTCACCACTCAGTCACTCACCCACCCACTCACCCACCCACTCACCCACCCACTCACTCAACCACCCACTCACTCAACCACCCACTCAATCACCCATCCACCCAATCACCCACTCATTCACTCACCTACTCACTCACTCACTCACCCACTCACTCACTCACCCATTAACTCACCTACTCACTCACTCACTCACCCACTCTCTCACTCACCCATTCACTCACTCACCCACTCACTCACTCACTCACCCACCCATTCACTCACCCACTCACTCACCTACTCACTCACTCACTCAACCACTCACTCACTCACTCACCCACTCACTCACTCACCCACTCACTCCCTCACCCACTCTCTCACTCACCCATTCACTCACTCACCCACTCACTCACTCACCCACTCACCCACCCACTCACTCAACCACCCACTCACTCAACCACCCACTCAATCACCCATCCACCCAATCACCCACTCATTCACTCACCTACTCACTCACTCACCCACTCACTCACTCACCCACTCACTCACTCACCCACTCACTCACTCACCCACTCACTCACTCACCCATTCACTCACTCATCCACTCACTCACTCACCCACTCGCTCACTCACTCACCTACTCACTCACTCACTCACCCAGTCATTCACCCACTCACTCACTCACCCACTCACTCACCCACTCACTCACCCACTCACTCACCCACTCACTCACCCACTCACTCACCTACTCACTCATTTACTCACTCACCCATTCACTCACCCACTCACTAACCCCACCCCATCCACCCAATCACTCACTCATTCACCCACTCACTCAACCACTCACCCACTCACCAAACCACTCACCCACTCATTCATTCACCCACAACCAACTCACCCACCTCTCCACAACAACATCAACACCACAACCACCACCCACCACCACCTCCACCACAAACACCAACACCACCACTCCACCACAAACACCACCACGACCACGCCCACCACCACGACCACGCCCACCACCACGACCACGCCCACCACCACGACCACGCCCACCACCACGCCCACGCCCACCACCACGCCCACCACCACGACCACGCCCACCACCACCAGCGGGGTATATAAGCGAGGTGATCAGACGCCGCTCTCCTTCAGAGTAGGTGACAGGACCCAATCAGTACCCAGGTAGAGGTGGGTGGGTGGGTGAGTGGGTGAGTGAGTGAGTGAGTGGGTGAGTGGGTGAGTGGGTGAGTGAGTGAGTGGGTGGGTGAGTGAGTGAGTGGGTGAGTGAGTGAGTGGGTGAGTGAGTGAGTGGGTGGGTGGGTGAGTGGGTGAGTGAGTGAGTGGGTGGGTGAGGGTTGGGTGGGTGACTGAGTGGGTGCGTGATTGGGTGAGTGGGTGGGTGGGTGAGTGAGTGGGTGGGAAGGTGAGTGGGTGATTGGGTGAGTGGGTGGATGGGTGAGTGATTAGGTGGTTGAGTGGGTGAGTGAGTGAGTGGGTGGGTGGGTGGGTGAGTGAGTGGGTGGGTGGGTGAGTGGGTGAGTGAGTGGGTGGGTGGGTGAGTGAGTGGGTGAGTGAGTAGGTGGGTGAGTGAGTGGGTGGGTGGGTGAGTGAGTGAGTGGGTGGGTGGGTCAGTGGGTGGGTGGGTCAGTGGATGAGTGAGTGGGTGGGTGAGTGGGTGGGTGAGTGAGTGATTAGGTGGGTGAGTGGGTGAGTGGGTTGGTGAGTGATTAGGTGAGTGAGTGGGTGAGTGGGTGGGTGGGTGATTGGGTGAATGGGTGGGTGGGTGAGTGAGTGGGTGAGTGGGTGGGTGGGTGAGTGAGTGGGTGAGTGAGTGCGTGGGTGAGTGAGTGGGTGGGTGGGTGAGTGGGTGGGTGAGTCATCACAGACCTCGAACTCGACCAACCTGACATTTTTCCTCGTTTTTATTGCAGAAACTGCGGCTGTGTGCCAAACAGCTATGTCAGGTAAGTGGCGACTCACACAGAGACCCATAGAGACACACAGAGACCCATAGAGACACACAGAGACCCATAGAGACACACAGAGACCCACAGAGACCCATAGAGACACACAGAGACCCATAGACTCACCACCACACAGAGACCCATAGAGACACACAGAGACCCACAGAGACCCATAGAGACACACAGAGACCCATAGAGACACACAGAGACCCATAGAGACACACAGAGACCCATAGAGACACACAGAGACCCATAGAGACACACAGAGACCCATAGAGACACACAGAGACCCATAGAGACACACAGAGACCCATAGACTCACCACCACACAGAGACCCATAGAGACACACAGAGACCCACAGAGACCCATAGAGACACACAGAGACCCATAGAGACACACAGAGACCCATAGAGACACACAGAGACCCATAGAGACACACAGAGACCCATAGACTCATACAGAGTTCGATAGACTCACCATCACACAGAGACCCATAGACTCACCACCACACAGAGACCCATAGAGATACACACAGACCCATAGAGACACACAGAGACACATAGAGACATACAGAGACCCATAGAGACACACAGAGACCCATAGACTCACACAGAGACCCATAGAGACACACAGAGACCCATAGAGACACACAGAGACTCATAGACTCACACAGAGACCCATAGACTCACACAGAGACCCATAGACTCACACAGAGACCCATAGAGACACACAGAGACCCATAGAGACACACAGAGACCCATAGAGACACACAGAGACCCATAGAGACACACAGAGACCCATAGAGACACACAGAAACCCATAGAGACACACAGAGACCCATAGACTCACACAGAGACCCATAGACTCACACAGAGACCCATAGAGACACACAGAGACCCATAGAGACACACAGAGACCCATAGACTCACACAGAGACCCATAGAGACACACAGAGACCCACAGAGACACACAGAGACCCATAGAGACACACAGAGACCCATAGACTCACACAGAGACCCATAGAGACACACAGAGACCCATAGAGACACACAGAGACCCATAGAGACACACAGAGACCCATAGAGACACACAGAGACCCATAGAGACCCATAGAGACACACAGAGACCCATAGACTCACCACCACATAGAGACCCATAGAGACACACAGAGACCCATAGAGACACACAGAGACCCATAGACTCACACAGAGACCCATAGAGACACACAGAGACCCATAGAGACACACAGAGACCCATAGAGACACACAGAGACCCACAGAGACCCATAAAGACACACAGAGACCCATAGAGACACACAGAGACCCATAGAGACACACAGAGACCCATAGACTCACACAGAGACCCATAGAGACACACAGAGACCCATAGAGACACACAGAGACCCATAGACTCACACAGAGACCCATAGAGACACACAGAGACCCACAGAGACACACAGAGACCCATAGAGACACACAGAGACCCATAGACTCACACAGAGACCCATAGAGACACACAGAGACCCATAGAGACACACAGAGACCCATAGAGACACACAGAGACCCATAGAGACACACAGAGACCCATAGAGACACACAGAGACCCACAGAGACCCATAGAGACACACAGAAACCCATAGACTCATACAGAGTCCGATAGACTCACCACCACACAGAGACCCATAGAGACACACAGAGACCCATAGAGACACACAGAGACCCATAGACTCACACAGAGACCCATAGACTCGCCACCACACAGAGACCCATAGACTCACACAGAGACCCATAGAGACACACAGAGACCCATAGAGACACACAGAGACCCATAGACTCACCACCACACAGAGACCCATAGACTCACACAGAGACCCATAGAGACACACAGAGACCCATAGAGACACACAGAGACCCATAGAGACACACAGAGACCCATAGAGACACACAGAGACCCACAGACTCACACAGAGACCCATAGACTCGCCACCACACAGAGACCCATAGACTCACACAGAGACCCATAGAGACACACAGAGACCCATAGAGACACACAGAGACCCATAGACTCACCACCACACAGAGACCCATAGACTCACACAGAGACCCATAGAGACACACAGAGACCCATAGAGACACACAGAGACCCATAGAGACACACAGAGACCCATAGACTCACCACCACATAGAGACCCATAGAGACACACAGAGACCCATAGAGACACACAGAGACCCATAGAGACACACAGAGACCCATAGAGACACACAGAGACCCATAGACTCACACAGAGACCCATAGAGACACACAGAGACCCATAGACTCACACAGAGACCCATAGACTCACACAGAGACCCATAGACTCACACAGAGACCCATAGACTCACACAGAGACCCATAGAGACACACAGAGACCCATAGAGACACACAGAGACCCATAGACTCACACAGAGACCCATAGATACACACAGAGACCCATAGACTCACACAGAGACCCATAGACTCACACAGAGACCCATAGACTCACACAGAGACCCATAGAGACACACAGAGACCCATAGAGACACACAGAGACCCACAGACTCACACAGAGACCCATAGACTCACCACCACACAGAGACCCATAGACTCACACAGAGACCCATAGAGACACACAGAGACCCATAGAGACACACAGAAACCCACAGACTCACACAGAGACCCATAGACTCACCACCATGCTGAGACCCATAGACTCACCACCACACTGAGACCCATAGACTCACCACCACACAGAGACCCATAGACTCACACAGAGACCAATAGAGACACACAGAGACCCATAGAGACACACAGAAACCCATAGAGACACACAGAGACCCATAGACTCACATAGAGACCCATAGAGACACACAGAGACCCATAGACTCACACAGAGACCCATAGAGACACACAGAGACCCATAGAGACACACAGAGACCCATAGAGACACACAGAGACCCATAGACTCACACAGAGACCCTTAGACTCAAACAGAGACCCATAGACTCACACAGAGACCCATAGACTCACACAGAGACCCATAGAGACACACAGAAACCCATAGAGACACACATAAACCCATAGACTCATACAGAGTCCGATAGACTCACCACCACACAGAGACCCACAGACTCACAGAGACCCATAGACTCACCACCACATAGAGACCCACAGACGCACACAGAGACCCATAGACTCACCAACACACAGAGACCCATAGACTCACACAGAGACCCATAGAGACACACAGAGACCCATAGAGACACACAGACACCCATAGACTCATACAGAGTCCGATAGACTCACCACCACACAGAGACCCATAGAGACACACAGAGACCCATAGAGACACACAGAGACCCATAGAGACACACAGAGACCCATAGAGACACACAGAGACCCATAGAGACACACAGAGACCCATAGACTCATACAGAGTCCGATAGACTCACCACCACACAGAGACCCACAGACTCACCATCACACAGAGACCCATAGACTCACCAACACATAGAGACCCATATACTCACACAGAGACCCATAGAATCACCACCACACAGAGACCCTTAGACTCACACAGAGACCCATAGACTCACACAGAGACCCATAGAGACACACAGAGACCCATAGACTCACACAGAGACCCATAGACTCACACAGAGACCCATAGACTCACCACCACACAGAGACCCATAGAGACACACAGAAACCCATAGAGACACACAGAGACCCATAGACTCACACAGAGACCCATAGAAACACACAGAGACCCATAGAGACACACAGAAACCCATAGAGACACACAGAGACCCATAGAGACACACAGAGACCCATAGAGACACACAGAGACCAATAGACTCACACAGAGACCCACAGACTCACACAGAGACCCATAGACTCACCACCACACAGAGACCCATAGAGACACACAGAGACCCATAGAGACACACAGAGACCCACAGACTCACACAGAGACCCATAGAGACACACAGAAACCCATAGACTCACACAGAGACCCATTGAGACCCACAGACTCACACAGAGACCCATAGACTCACCACCACACAGAGACCCATAGACTCACACAGAGACCCATAGAGACACACAGAGACCCATAGGGACACACAGACACCCATAGACTCACACATAGACCCATAGACTCACACAAAGACTCATAGACTCACACAGAAACCCATAGAGACACACAGAGACCCATAGAGACACACAGAGACCCATAGAGACACACAGAAACCCATAGAGACACACAGAGACCCATAGACTCACCACCACACTGAGACCCATAGAATCACCACCACACAGAGACCCTTAGACTCACACAGAGACCCATAGACTCACACAGAGACCCACAGACTCACAGAGACCCATAGACTCACCATCACACAGAGACCCATAGACTCACAGAGACCCATAGACTCACCACCACATAGAGACCCACAGACTCACAGAGACCCATAGACTCACCACCACACAGAGACCCACAGACTCACACAGAGACCCATAGACTCACCACCACACAGAAACCCATAGACTCACACAGAGACACATAGAGACACACAGAAACCCATAGACTCATACAGAGTCTGATAGACTCACCACCACACAGAGACCCACAGACTCACAGAGACCCATAGACTCACACAGAGACCCATAGACTCACACAGATACCCATAGACTCACACAGATACCCATAGACTCACACAGAGACCCATAGACTCACACAGATACCCATAGACTCACACAGATACCCATAGACTCACCACCACACAGAGACCCATAGACTCACACAGAGACCCATAGACTCACACAGACACCCATAGACTCACCACCACACAGAGACCCACAGACTCACACAGAGACCCACAGACTCACACAGAGACCCATAGACTCACACAGAGACCCATAGACTCACACACAGAGACCCACAGACTCACACAGATACCCACAGACTCACACAGAGAGACCC